CCCACCTCAGCATTCTGACTCTTGACAGATGGAACCAAGGAATGAACCATCTGAAGACGTGGTTGGCCTCTACAGCATCTGCCCCCAAGTGTTAGGGCTCAGCATTCCTAGTTAACTTCAAAATAACCTTGTCTTAGTCGCTTCAGGCTTCTATAACAAGTACCATAGAGTGGGTGGTCAAGCAACAGAGATTGATTTCTCACAGTTGTGAAGGCTGGAAGTCCACGATCAGGGGGCCAGCAGGGTCAGGCTCTGGGGAAGGCCCTCTAGTGGGTGGCAGACTGCCGACTTCTTGGTGTGTCCTCACGTGACAGGAGGGTCAAGGGAGCCCTTCAGGGTCTTTATTATTATTATTATTATTATTATTATTATTATTATAGCACTAATTTCATTCATGAGTGTTCCATGCTCATGACCTAATCACTTCTTAAAGGCCCCCCCCAATACCATCACATTGGGGGTTAGGATTTCAACATGTGAATGCTGGGGAACACATTCAGTCTAGAGCAAACCCCTTATCCACCCATCATCAAGTCTTTTTAGGTGTGTGCATTGTCAGTCTGAGAAGCAGAAGCAATACGTAAATCAGGGAACTGGCACCTCCAAAGTAGAAGGTGGGAGAGAGGGGAGGAGCAGCATGGATAGGGGCCGGCAGGAAACCCATATCAAAAGCAGCCAATCACCTATAGGTTAGTTAATAGTATGGTACCAATGTCAATTGCCCAGCTTTGATAACATACTCTGGTTATGTAACACGTTATCATTGGAAAAGCTGAGAAGGGTACACAGGAACTTGCTATTATTTTTGCAACTTCTTGTGAATCTAAAATTTCTTCAAAATTTAAAAAAAGCTACCAATCAAGGGTCATTTTTTGAGAGGCTAAGGGATTGAGACAAATAATGATTTAAGTAAACCCTTTCTAATTGCTCTACTTCTAGCTTTTTACCATTTCAATAAGCTTTACTCTAAAGTTTATGCCCTTTCTTAAGGATTTTATGTCCTTTGTTAAGGTTTTTTTAAGATTGTTATCCTAACATAGTTTCCAGGATTGGAAACAAAATGGAAAACATGATCCTGTGTTTATATAAAATCCTGCTTAAAGTTTGGCATTTCCTCAAAAAGTTAAACATAGAATTACCATGTGACCCAGCAATTCCACTTCTAGCTAGCTACTCAAGATTATTGAAAACATATGTCTACACAAAAACCTGTATGTGAATGTTCAAAACAGCATTAGTCATAAATGCCCCAAAGTGGAAACAGCCCAAATACTGATCAACTAAAATGTGGTATATCTATGTGTACACAATGGAATATTATTTGGCCATAAAAAGAAATAAAGTCCTGATACATGCTCCAACATCAATGAATCTTAAAAATATTTTGCTAAGTGAAAGAAACCAGACATAAAAGGCCACATATTATATGATTTAAATGAGATGTCCAGAATAAGAAAAACCAAAGAGAGAGAAAATAGATTAGCCGTTGTCAGGCGCTGAAGGTGGTGAGGAGGGAGGAGGAGTGAGTGTTAATGGGTACAGGGTTTCTTTTTGGGGTGATGAAGTGTGCTAGAATTAGATAGCTGTGATGGTTGCACAACTTGCAAATATACCACAAACCACTCTGCACTGTACATTTTAAAATGGTGAATTTTACTTTATGTGAATTATATATCAAAAACAAAACAAAACAAAAAATCCTATTTAAAGTAGAGGGAAATTTTTCTTTTTTCTTTTTCCCAGGCTTATCCTAGAACACTAACTTTGCCTTCGTGAAGTATCTCTCATATTATGCTTAGGCTTGTCCTGACTAGTCTGGTCTAAGACTGGTGAAGTGTTACATTTCACTCAACAAATATCTATTACAAGGTACAGGGGAATGGGGCAAAGAAGGAGACCCAAAAGCATTTCTGAAAGTATATAATGGAGAAACCAATCATCACATACCTGAACGCCTTCCCCCGAGTCAGAGAGGCATTATCCTGAGGTAAGTGTGCACTTGGTAAAAACATTGCTAACTGCAACGTACCATTCTCCCCTTCCCCAAATAAATAATCTGGGGTTTGCCTGTATTTCTCTTTATGAATATTAAAATTTTCAAAATTTTAAGATTTTAAAATTTTAAATTTTAAAATTTCCATACTTGAGGAACATATTCACAAGGTTCTAGACCTGTAGGAATTCATATTTTCATGAGCTCTCCTCCTAGTCTTCATCTCTACCGACTGAAACATCCTCACCATTTGGGTGTGTCTTCACAGGGCAGCCAGCCCCTCCGTCACCTTGACCTCCCAGCAATGGGTTCTCCATCACTACACTCTCCACAGGACCAGAGCCATACATACATTCACATCATGATTTTGTATAAACATAGGATCAGGTTTTCCATTTTATTTCCGTACTGGAAACCATATCATAATGCTTAGAAACTGTATCCTAATGCTTAGCAGGGGATGTAACTATACCAAATGAGACTGATTTCTTTTTTCTTTAATTGAGCATACATTGAGCTTTATGCATAAATAAATATCTAACAACAATAATAAACTTAATGCCAAGAGCACTGTGCCCAGGGAGGCTGCCCTTCCTCAAATCACTTCTTTAACTCCTCTTTGGAGGCCATTTTAAAAGCCGGTTGGTAAGTCAAACCAAACAACAGTTTCTCTGCCTTATAGTCACACCTTAATTCTGATTTTAAAAACCAGAATTAAAACTGTGATATCTCTGGCTTTGAGTAACCTCCAACTCTTTCCTAAACTAAATCTACCCTCAGGAATTAAGATTTGCCACCATGAATGAGATTTCTTGGAGAGAACACCACAAGCTCTGAGAGTAATTCTAGATGAGAAGTTCCAAAAATATAAGTTAAAAATCTCCCAGGGGGTCAGCCCAGTGGCAGCTAAGTGCGCATGGTCTGCTTCGGCGGCCCAGGGTTCGCAGGTTCGGATCCCAGGTGCACACCGACACACGGCTTGTCAAGCCATTCTGTGGCAATGTCCCATATAAAGTAGAGGAAGACGGGCACGGATGTTAGCCCAGGGACAATCTTCCTCAGCAAAAAAGAGGAGGATTGGCATTGGATGCTAGCTCAGGGCTGATCTTCCTCATCAAAAAAAAAAAAAACCCTCCCTCAGTGATGACTCTGAAACTATAAACTCTTTTGGAGGTGTGAATTTTGGTCCTTGTCAAAGATTATTGAGTGAAAACAGTACACAATTATAAACACACTACAGTTATAAGCATATGAAAAATATGAACTCGTGAATAAAGACAGAGGATCTAGTAAAAGTGAAAAATAATGTTGTGTTAAAGTAGATGATTTTTCAAGAATTTCCTTTAAGTTACTGTTATATTATGATAAAAAGGAAGCTACACCATTGACGTTAGTTGATAACCACCCTTGTCTTACACAATGTTCCCATATCTTAATAGTCTACCACAACTCCTACATCCCCTTCCAGGTCAAAGCCCTTGAGCCTGAGTCTGTCTCCACACAAGGAGATGAGTTATTTTTCCCCAGAAGATAGTACCAAACATCTGCCCACATAAAGACTCAGCTGACTCTTCTACCCACTCCCACAGCTTGGTAAGGGCTCCCTTCCTTCACTCTCAACTTGGTATCTCACCAAATGAAAGGCTAAGTGTCGCTTACAGTGAGGTGACTTGTAAAAATAGTAACTTCAGCTAATCCCAGTTCTAATCCCTGGGCCGTCTGGTAGCTTGCGCTTCTCTAAGCAGGGCCACTTACACCCTGACCATTCAATAAGAAAAATAAAACATTTCCCAAATGTATGATGACTCAGAGTTCTAACAACAATAACAAGCAGCACTATTGAGTGTTCTGATGTGCAGCGCTGTGCTAAATCCACTTCTGAGACACGGAGAGTCTCTATTCACATCTAGATCTGGCTGACTCCAGAATCTGCATCTTTGGCCATCACTTTGAAAACAGTAATAATTTTAAATTTTTTAAGTGCATTTATACAAAAAGTCTCATTTAAGCCTCTGAACCCATTGGCTGTGAGGAATGAAGGTGACAATGACCCTAGATGCTAAGGGATGGAGTAACTTGCCCATGGTGTCTGAGCTAAGGACAGAGCCAGAGGTAGAACCTATGATGGCCAACCAGATCCACCCTCCACTGCTCCAAGCTGCCCTGAAGTCTAAATAAACCATCTAGAAATAGTTATTGGCAATGATTCCTAGAAAATGAGATAGAATAGAAGGCTAAAACTCAATGGCATTTGGAAAAAAGCTGTCTTCTCTCAACAGTGTGATCCTTTCCATCCTTTGGAAAAGGTTCTGCCCCTTTCTGTGCCTTCCAATGTGATTCACATCCACCCTCTGACATCACAAGGATTCTAATACGTAGAATATTAGATGATAAAAGTGGTGAACTAGAAACAACCATGAGTTTTGCCGTCACAAAGACCTGAGATTGAATTGGATTTGCCGCTTCTAACTGGTCGCTCCTCGTGAGTAAAATATCAGCTACCTTAGGGTCGGTCAAGTATTCAGCACATAGTAGGTGCACAAAAACTGTTAGTTTCCTGATAGTACAATCAACTCTAGGGTTCACAGAGGCTGCAGGGTCATAAAACAAAATATCTCTAAAAATGTGTTTCTTCAGAATGCCACTGATTCAAAAGGAACTTGCTGACAGGAAAAAATACTTTCTCCTGAAGCAGCACTTTCCCTGAGAAACTTGCATTAACTAGGAGTAAACCTACCAGCATCCTCCCATAAAAAACAAAAACATTATTCACAATGGCCAAAAGGTGGAAATAATCCAAGTGTTGGAGGAATAGATAAACAAAATGTGGCATATACACACAACGGAGCATTAGCTTAAAAAAGGAAGAAAGTTCTGATACATGCTACGACATGGATGAATCTTGAAGACATTATGCTAAGTGAACTAAGCCAGACACAAAAGGACAAATATTACGAGTCCACTTACGTGAGGTACCTGGAGTGGGCAAGTTCATGGAGACAGAAAGTAGAATGGTGGTGGGCAGGGGAAAGAGGGAACGAGGAGTTACTGTTTAATGGGTACAGAGTTTCAGTTTGGGATAATGGAAAAGTTCTGGAGATGGATGGTGGTTACGGTTACACAACATTGTGAGTGTACTTAATGCCACTGAACTATACACTTAAAAATGGTTCCATTGGTTAATTTTATGTTATATATATTTCACCACAACTTACAAAATAGCAAGGATATTCCATCTGTCCACAAGGGCCTTGTACTGTGCTTCCTGGGGTCTGGGCCACGCCTTACCTCTGCCCTTTCCCAGCTCGGCCCCCACTGCACGGCTGCTTTTCCCATGATTAACAGGTCCCGGCCGGGCACTCACCGGGCCGCAGGTTCACGGCGATCTCCTGCGGCGTCATCTGAATGACGTCTGCGCCCGCCGCGCTGGAGCCCTTGCTGCTGAGAGGCAGGCTCCGCAGGACCTCAGTGCTGCTGGCCGGGCTCTCAAACTCGCCCCCACAGCCATTTCTGACCAGGTTTGCCCTCAAGTCACACCGGGAGGTGATGGACCGCAGGCTGCCGAAGTCCTAGGTGCAGACACAGAGAAGGAGAGCAGGAGGCAGTCAGGAGTCTCCCCAGCACACCTCAGGCTGTCGACTCATTACCATCAGGTTGACCCTACACCCTCTACATTCCATTTTCATCGTCTGAAAGTGGAGAAAATGATAATCCGTATCCCAAATGCCTCACCTAGTATTAAGAGGATTAACTGAGGTGCTGGATAGGGAAACATTTTGTAAACAGTAAATGCATAATAAAAATGTTTGGTTTCATTGGGTTTTTTGGGGGGGTTTTGCTGAGGAAGATTAGCCCTGAGCTAAAATCTGTGCCAATCTTCCTCCACTTTATATGTGGGTTGCTGCCACAGCGTGGCTGCCAAGTGGTGTGGGTCCACACCCAAGATCTGAACACGCCAACCCCAGGCCGCCAAAGTGGAACATGCAGAACTCAACCACTAGGGGCCAGCCTCGGTTTCATTGTTATTTTAACGGTCAAGTGCTCCTAAAAATATGTGCCTAACTGTATACACCATTAGCAAGAGAAAGTAACTGAAGTGGTCAAAAGTTGTATAACTAGGATTTTTCGAAAGATAATATGTAAGTGGCCAAGTAGTTGTCACTCAGGCAATCAGGAGTTAACTTCTGAGCTATTCGCTCATCTCCTGTGCAGGCCCCGGACATTGCACAACCCTTGTGGAGAACAATGTGGCAACATACATTGTACCCTTTGACCCAGCAGTCCATTCCTAGGAATTTGTCACAAGAAAATAACCAAAAGGGGAACCTCTGTAAGAAGATATATACTGTAGAGTTATTTCGGATAGAATAATCTTATAAACCTGTAAACCAAAATCCCTAAAACATAAGAAAAATAGGGTATATCACCTCAATAGATGAACTAGCCGTTACAAATAATTATGAAGACTAAGTAGAAATTTCAAAACATTTATAGTAAGAAAAAAATCAGAAAACAGAATTGTATCTGCATGAGGATTCAAAAGAAAAATTAAAAAATGAAGATAGCAGAAGTGTTAGGGGAGAGGGACTAAAATGATATTTTTCTTTTTATCTTTATTGTTGTTTGAACAAGAAAGCCACATTGAAAAGAAAAATGTTTCTTTTCTTAAATTGGATTTAGGAGAAGCCTGGGCATCAGGAAGACCCAACCCGATTTGGTGCACCAGGAGTTTGGGCCATTAACTTTAAAATGAAACAATATATATTGTTAAAAAATATGGTACCTATAAGTATGGATCATTTCCCAGTAAGGGAGTCTTTAATGGCAAAGCACACCCAGCATTCTCTCTGAACACCCTTTCACTGATGGATATAGAAAACAAGATCACCTCCTCCAGCTGGTTGGATGCCAGTGCCGGACTGGATAATCCTCATAATGGGTGGAGGAATTAGGATGCTGATGTCTTCCTCCCGGCTCTGTAACACTTTGCTGGAAGGCCTCAGATGAGTCAAGTGTCCTCTGACCACTATGTTAGAAGTCAGACTGCTGAAGAGGCACAAACACGCAGAGGGACTCACCCTTCATCGTGGGCTAGGATGCCCCAAGACAAGTCAATGCCCATTAGAGCCTTTGCAAGATTCAAGAGCAAGGAATCAAGAAGACTTTGCAGTATTTTTAAATAAGTAAAGCCAGATGTCTTGTTCTGGGCCTCTGTGATTTTTTTTGTTTGTTTTTTTATAACTGAATGTTTTTTAATTTCATGTCTTGAACCCCTGGAGAGCTTGCCTGTCAACAACCTCAGGGATGACACCGTAAGGATAAGTGGCTCCACAGACGCTTGTGGAACAAAGAGAGAAAAATGATGATGGTGGCTTAAAATGATTATTAATACATTTCTATGCTAGGGTTTCCAAACTGGGTTCCAAATGGTCAAGCTGGGCCCTGCTGTAGAAATTCTGATGAAGCAGTAAAAAAGCACAGGGATGGGGGAACAGTGAGTTAACTTCCTGAAGGCCCTGCTGCTATCAGCCTGCTGTCCTGAGCTGTCTGAAGCAGAGGACGAATTAGCTGCCCAGAGCTGGAAAGGCTCAGGGGCTCGCCTGCTCAAAGCTAACTTGCCTGAGAATTTCTGAACTTCTTGCTGGGACACTGGGCCTTGCTGCCAGCTCCTCTAGTTCCGAAGAGCTGGCTGTCCTCTGCCCAGCTCTGACTGCCAAGGTACACCTGTCTTGACTAGTCCAGTGCAGATCCCCACCACTAGGTGGCAAGGAAAGCATCTTCAGTCTCTCCAGAGTGATGGGAAACTGATGCGCCCCCAATGGTCTGGAGCAGCTTGCATTCTGGAATAGACTAGGTCACAGAGCCAATCTGCTTTGCTCTAAGTGGGAGGAAGTTGCATGATTCCTCATCCACAGCCTCGGCCATTTGCTTCAGGTTGGTCATCGAGATCGTCTCCTGTTGCCTGGACACGTACATTAGCAATGAACTCCATCTAAGCTTCCCAGTCATCGTGCCCCAAGGGGTTTTTGATAGACACTACCAGTCCTTGATGGAGGACTTGTACAGGGCCACCTGCTGGTCAGGGAAGATGTACCTGCTGGGGTCATCAGAAGACTTAAAGTCCAGGTCATACTTCCCAGACCTGAAGAACTCAGAGGCAACCACATCTGTGCCAGTTAAACCTTATTTGTGTACCTAGCTTTCCCAACTGCACAATGGGGCTTCATTCTCTAGGATGTTAGGAGCAAAGCCCTCTTCATTCCCCTCACTGGCAGTAGATCTCCCTTATTTCTCCTTAATAACATTCTCCCCAAGGTTGTGGTAAACCTCTGCTCCAGTGAGCATGACTTCCCTGAAGTTTGCTGCACCGGCAGAGAGGACCATAAACTCCTGCATTGTCACCTGGTTGCCAGCATGAGAACCACCCACTGGCCACATTAAAACTGCAACTTGCAGGATGATGTCAAGTGCCAACAAGTCAGCAATGTGACAGTACAGGGAGCCCTTTCTCAGCAGCTCCAGCTTCACAGACAGTAAGGGACACCCTATGGCACGTGTACCAAATTCAGATTTAGTCTCAGTGCCATCCACCTCTATCATCAGTTTGTCAATCTTCTGCAATTTCACAGAGTTCGGTTTCTTGCTACTTGGGGCAAGCCCAATGGTTTTACTGATGTGCTAAACAGCCTTTGAGACATCTTTATCTGTATATCAAGTCTTGACCCTATTTCCACCCATCCAAATGCCACAGGCCACCCTGTTCTTCTCCCTGAGGATTTCAGCTTTCACAGGGGCGGCCTTGCCTACCTGGTCCTCCTGCTTCAGGTGTCACAGCAGCCTGTACCTCCACGGCCACATCTCCTCAAGGTGTCTCACTTTCACGCCCTAACAGCCTCCCTGCTCCCCCCACCCTGGGCAAAATCTCCTTGCCTGCCTTTGTCTCCCGTCCCGTTCCCACCACCCCTGCTTTCTGACCCACAGGGAGCACCGGTCCCTCAGCCCTGCCCATGGCTCCCAAACCACTGCCCTCTTGCAAGCCACACTGGCCTTCCTGCCTGCGGCACAGGCTGCTAGTCCACAGAACCCACTCTCCCTTTCTTCCTGGGCACGCAGCTGGATTAAGTCTCCCAGTCCTCGCTGCAATGTGTTTTAGTCAAGAAAACGTGAGCAGAAATAATGTGAGCTGCCCCGAGGCCTTGCCATATAAGCATCCACACACGTCTTTCCCTGTACATTCCTCTCTATAGCTAGCCAGGTTGTGACACTTACTATCTTAGAGCAGAGGCAGATTTCCACTTAAAAAAAAAAATGAAGGACAAAATAGATGACAAACTGCCAGAGTTTGTTGCATGTTTTACACTGTGCAATTAAACAGCACCATAGGTGTTCAAGCTGGCCGAGAAGTAGAGGCCAAGGCTGGCTAGAACAACCCAGGGTTGTCACAAGGGACAAGGGACAGGGGCTGCGGTGTGCAGTGTAGACAGGGGAGGCCAGGCAGCCCCACACACACCCTGGTCTCAGAGGAGGGGAGAGTCTGGCAACTCTGGTCTTGAAGCCAGAGGGTAAGTCTGAAGCTGCCAGTAAACAACATTAGGAAACAAAGACAAGAGAGCCAGGTTAAGAGGGCCACGCAGCAGAACTAGGCAGAGAGAACCAGCACGAGGTGCTGTGCGGGAGGCGGTAAGGACACAGGCTGACTCAAACTCAATACCTGTGGGAGAATACAGTAATGGGAGGGTGGACAGGGTAGAGGAGATGGAATTAGTTTATAAGGGGTGTTAAACGCAGAGTGAGGAGTTCCCACTCCCACCTCAAATAAATAAGGAAGTCACTGTGGGATCCAGAGCAGGGGAGTCCCCATGGAATGTGTTCCGGGATTAATCCGTGGTGGTATGCAGCGAAGGTAGGGGGAGGGGCGGATCAGAATCCACAAGAACACACTGGTTAGGGACCTGGCCCTCCCTGGCCGTCTACTCAGTATCAGCCCTCAGTGTACACACACACCATATGTTCTTGGCAGATACTTTATTCTTTGAAGATGTCCCAGGATGTACAGTTACGAAGGCACTAGACCACACTTATTCTGTCTTGCTAAGGAGCAGGGCTTGATCAAAACCATTCCTGAACTCTCCGAACCCAGCTCCCTGAAACACACTCAGGCCCTGGGGAAAGTTCAACCCCAAAGAGGATGGGAAGCTGCATTCCAGTGCAGGCATGTAGGAAGTTCTTCAGCCAAGAATGAGGCTCTGTCTAAGCATAGAGGGAACCCAGGTGTGGCCCGGGACAATGATAGGCTCCCAAGGATAATGTCATTCACTCTCATCAACAGGATGTCAGATATATGGAAGGGCTAGCAAAAGAAAGGAAGAAATTTAAGTAGACCCCACTGCCCACATTTCACTAGAGCATACCCATCAATGACAGCAGCAGTTTGCTGGATAACTCTCACTCAGTCATTCAGTAGGCTCGGTTAACCAGCAGTCCATGCACAAGTGCTCTCACGCACTGATCTCACTGTATACTCCCAGTAATGCTGGAGGGTGGGAATTGTCTTCATTTTACACACGAAGAAACTGAGACGGTAAAACTGGCCAAACTGAGATTTAAACTTCGGTTTTCTAACTGCCTATCTTTTTAACAGGGCTCTTTTATCAAATATAAATTCCTGCCAGATTCTTGGCTAGATCTGGGGATGCCAAGATGAATAAGACATAGTTTAGGTCCTCAAGGAGATGATGATTTAGTTGGTAACAGGCACAAAAACAAATGAACAGAATTAAGAGGTTATGAGTGTTATTGAAGGAGTATAGAGTATGGGCAGACAAAGAAATGATCATGGCCTGCACATGCAGACACACAATAAAAAGCCATCCAATGAAACCCATCAATCAATATTTACTGAGAAACTACTATATCCTACAGATCATAGGGAACCAGGGAAAGGTTTTAAAGAAACTTCATAACAAAGACACTATAGTTAAGCACAAAAATAATGAAGGGTTTACATATTGGGAAGATTGCTCTCTCAGAGCACTTGCTTAGTCACCTTCCTCTCTACTAGAAAGAATTCTAGAGCAGTCATATGTAAGAGGCAGTGCAGCCTAGAGGAAAGAGCCGGG